TCCAGTCTCATTTATATCTCTCATTTGAGTGATCTTTAATATATGCCGATATTTTAGCCATCTTGGCTAAGTTTATTAAGAGCATCATTTCAGCTGATAATTGGGGATAATCCAAAAGAGAGAAATATTGGTTACTTTTTTACTTTTTAAATCAGTGCTTGCATCCTTAATTAGTCCAAAAAGGCCTGGCCAGTTCAAAATTTGATTGTCACATCTTATGTCTATGACAATCAACTACAGAAAGCAGAGATCACACAAATTATTGTCTGCAATTTCAGAATACAAACTGAAGATATTTATCGTAACGGATATAAAATGATGAGAGTAAAGAAGAGATTGATGAGAAATCATATTATAAATAAAATAGTGGGAGATAAGAGCAGTTTCTCAAGCTATTTTTTTTCAAATACAGAAAGGATTTTGATAAAATAGAACGAAAGTTTATCAGGAATATGAACTATTTCACCTGGTTGATTAGTTTGTTGAAATATAAGCAGACCCTATAAGAAACAATGGGTAATTTAAAACACAGTTCAGGAACAATAATAACAAGCTGGAATATTCCTAGAGCGGCGATGGCTAATCTTTTCCGGAATGAGTGCCCAAAGTGCAAGCACATGCGCAAATGTGCTCGCCCCCCCAACACCCAAAATGCAATGCATGCGCCCACCTCCACACATGCACACACACCTCACCCCCACCCCTACGCCCCCACCCCTGCAGATGCTCCGCCCCTGCACATGCGCATGCTTCCCCCTCATGGGCTCCACTCCCGTGCATGCACGCCAGAGACCCGACAATAACCTGGCTATTGGGAGGCCTGTGCACACGTGTGGTGGATCTGAATTAGGGCAACGGCTCGCATGCCCACAGAGAGGGCGCTGCGTGCCACCTGTGGCACGCGTGCCATAGGTTCGCCATCACAGGCCTAGAGGACAGAGAAGGGTGACAATGATGGTAAGGAGTTTAGAGTATGAGAGAAGTGTGAGAAACAGTTGTAGGTGATGGTACACTTTCCTTTCTCACAGAAGAGGGAGAGACTGGCTAGCTAATAGATTGATAGATTATATTAGTAAATTTTCTGCTATGGGATGTTCCAATAATGAACCTGGGATTAGACTGATACAACGCCCCAAGTGCCTGCTGATTCAAACATTATAGCCTGTAAATTGCGCCATCTGGGGAGACATTTTGAAAACCATTTATTTTGAAATTTTCACATTACGCAAGGAAATGGAAGATTTTTCAGGAAAGATTAGTCTTTACCTCACCATATGCTTTACAAGTTCTATAGGGAAATTTAAAATTAAAATCCTTAAAAATTCAAAGTTTCGAAAGTGAAGAAATAGATCCCAGAGTTCCAGTTCCTATCATCCCTCTAAGCAAATGTTTTTGCAGCCTGGGCAAATTTAAGAAGTCTGTGCGGACATCAGCTTCCAGAAATCCCCAGCCAGCATGAATGGCTGGGGAATTCTGGGAGTTGAAATCCACACGGGTGAAAGTTGCCAAGGCTGAGAAACACTGCTCTAAGTACTAAATTCTGAAATAATACTTGATTGCAACGATAGTATTGTTATACCTAGTATTTTCTGTTTTGTTTGACAGCCTCTCTTTTTTTTTTAATGTAGGTTTATCGTTTGCAGAAGAAAGTTCTAAGACAAGACAATGGATTACTCCGGTCAGGATTCCGCCCCACAATACATGGAGTCCTCTCATTTGCAAGGAAATGACGATTCAGACCTTTTCTTTACGAGTCCTGATGGCATTGATTGCAATGCTGTGCCCACTTATTTCCCTCGCATGCCTGAATCCTACAGGCACTCTCCAGGTACGTGTGAATCAGTGGTGGGTTTCAAAAAAGTTTGGAATCTCTTCTGTAGGCGTGGCCTGCTTTCCGGGTCCACTGGTGGAACCTCTTCTAACCGGTTCGGTAGATTTGATGAACCGGTTCTACCGAATAGGTGCGAACTGGTAGGAACCCACCTCTGGTGTGAATGTAACAACTGGAACAACTCCATTGAAGCCATGGATAGATGCTGTATTTTGGAAACTAATCTGTTTTTAAAGAAAGGCTTGGACACCTCAATTTCGTCTGCAGCTTTTCCCCAATTTAAAGTCATACAGAGGTTTACACTAAAGCCAGTGATGGTGGTCATTGTAGCCTAACACATGGGAGGATATCATCTTAGAAAATACTCTTCTATTCAATCACGGGTGGTTGTGCAAATCTGTTGTGTTGGCAAAATTGCTCACTAAATTGTCAAAATTATTTTTGCTATGGCTTCCTTTGCTACAAGCTAGATTTGAGACCCAACATTACAAAGCATTACAAAGAGCCGAGGTGGCGCAGTGGTTAAATGCAGCACTGCAGGCTACTGCTAGATCAGCAGTTCAGCGGTTCAAATCCCAC